AATCATAAGGGTACCCTTTTTCCTAATAATATTCGGCTTTAGATCGGAGACCCCCAAGTAAAAAGGGCAAAAGGGTACTACTGGGGAACCTAGCTTAAACATGGCGTGGGTGGACGTGTTAGGTTCAGGGTTGCCGCTTTCAGGATTTGGGCTCCGGCTTGCCACGCTTACAGCTTTGAGAGTTTGTTAAGGAGTTTCGAAATTCGGCTTTGAGGGTTCAACCGCAGCTTCTACTACTGAACGGATCGTGGTAGTACCTGCTACCTTCGACCTGTAACCTAAAACCCGACGAGAACGACGACCCCCAGAACGACAAGGTATTGCAGGCTGGGGGTTCGTGGTCTCTGGATGTCTCCGGGCTGAGGGTTTAAGGTTTTTAGGGTTTTTAGGGTTTTTAGGGTTTTTTAGGTTTTTTAGGGTTTTTAGGGTTTAGGGCTTAGGGTTTGGTACTGTAACCTTTTCACCTTGTGCCACGTTGTGCCACAAGGGGATAGGCTGTGCTGAAAACATGCCACATGTGAGGAGCTTGTATGGGAGTGTAGCCGATCTAGGGATGCCAAGCCCTAAACCCTAGACCCTAAAGTCAAATCCGAAGGTCCAAAACTTCTAAAGGAGAAACTGCAGTCGGAGAGGCATTCCGGGATAGAAGAGCAGAATAGGCAGACTGATCCCCACACGCGCGAGGACAAAGGTGATGAAGTAGATCTCGGTAGCCGGAGGGATGGGGGTCCCTACTTCTCTCCTTGTTCCGGGTCTTTAGCAGTCAGGATCCGACTATGTACATAGGTCTATATCAGGGTCGCTTGTTTCCTGAAGCTCCTATCTCAGCAGCGCAAAAGCAAATCTGTACTAGTTAGCACCATGCAAGAAGAGTGCTGAGCGTTTAGGGGTCATGAAAACACAAGCTATGGTGAAGAACACATGCAAAGGCCGAATGCAAGAACCAGAAGACGTTTCTTTCACAGTATTACAACCTGGCACGGGTAGCTTGTATCGAGTGCTGGAGAGCCCCGGAATCTGCAAAACTCTGAAAACACCCGAGCACCCCCCCCCCCTTCCCAAAATCGAAGCACCCCCGACCCTCCACCGAAGCCCCCAAACTCAGATGCCCTGAGCTGATCCCTAGACCCTTAGCCTTAGACCTCATCCTAGGCCCACCGAAGCGTTGTACCCTCTACCCGGCTTCGACAGGCCAGAGAGGAGGGGCTGAGTACACATCCGGGAAACTACTAGTGGGCTTCGTAGAGGAGTTGCATCGGATAGGACGGTCTGAAGGGATTGGTTCATCAATAAAAAAGCATGTACAGGCGGAACGGAAGCGGCAGGAGTCGGAAGCACGCGGGGTCTACTGTTTGACCTCCCTCAGGGTTCGAAGACCAGAACCTAAACCCTAAAACCTAAACCCTGAAACTCTAAACCCTGAACCCTAAACCACTAAAGCCTAAACCCCGAAACCCTAAACCGAACCGTTGGTGCAGCTGTGGCGCCGCCACTCGCGGTACTTCTCTCCGGACCAAACCGAGAGCCTAGCGGCAATCGGGACTTCGCAAGGAGTGCCTGTGGGGTTTAAGGTTTGAGTCTTGGGTTTAGGACCATATTATTGTTATTATTGCTGCTATTATTGAATAATATTCTTATGCTTCTTATCATTATCATTATCATTATCATTATCATTATCATTATTATTGTTTTGATTATTATTATGATTATTAGTACTATTATCAAGTACTATTATCATTATTATCACTATTATTGTTGTTATTATTACTATTATTATTGTTATTATTATTATTACTATTATTAATAGTAACAATATTCCCTCCTAAGAAATTCTCAAGACCGAATCCCCAAAGCCCCTACGTCCGTGGATTCAGGCTTGGAATTTAGAGCAATACTTTTCAGTATACTTGAAACAGGTACCTCTTAGGGCTTAGCGCTTAGGGCTCTGAGGGCTTCGGGTTTAGGGCTCTTAGGGCTTCGGGCTCTTATGGCAAACCTATCAGGCCAGGTACTACGCTCGCCCCCATCTAGGCCCTGAGCCAGCCGGATGAAACACTCAATTCCGGATTTTATAGAGCCTGGGACTTCGATAAGCTTGGGCTTCATTGTGGCAAGGAGCCCCTATAGTAGCCCCAAAAGTCCATGCATTGTAACCCTGTCTGCAAGAACCCCGACCGAAATTCTCCCGAACTCCGCCCGGCCTTGGGTGGCTCCTTCAATATCAACTCCTTGGGCCGAAGTCCACTTCTCTCCAGGAGCACTTAAGATTTGGGACTTTGCCTAGGGTTCAGGGTTTAGGGGTCTAGTGGCTTGGGTTTGGGAAATCCGGCCCTCTTTCTGCAACTAGTGGTCTGACAAGGTACAGGAAATCGTTCGGGTGCCAAAACTGCATCGGACGTCTTTGCCATGCCTACAAAACAGCTCACAACTGCGACCAAGCTAGCGCAGCTTGCAGGGGCAAGCTGCAGGAAGATCACAGCCGACACTTTGCGGAGAGTCGCCAGATTTACGCTCTCTTTTGCTGAACACTACCGAGGATTGATCGACAAGTGGGCGACAAGATCATAATTTGGGTATTGTTACTATAAATAATATTAATAACAATAATAATAGTAATGATAATAGTAATAGTAATAATAACAACAGATGTACTCAAGACCCGGCCCCTCCCGGCTACAAATTGCGGAGGAAAGGGCGCTCTACCCTCGGCTGCCAGAAGCACCTTCCGAGCATTCACTTCCCGCCGAGAGTCAAAGGTGTTCCACACGGAGCCGATGACCACGGCAACCTTGCCAGCTGGCACAGCCGCTTCTTTCTGGAGCACTGCGATGAGTACAGGCATGGCAAGGGCCGAAAGGAGCAAGATCCATCTTTTTGCGGAAAGCGACTGAAAACAACGATCTGGCTGCCTACCTGCCCGCCTAAACTGAAACCATCTTAACCCTGTAAATCAACGACTTCCCGAAGCTGCAAGGCCCCCAGGACTCCTTAGCCCTGCGATGGATTTTCGGAGAGACTTCCTCGGTGATCCAAGTGGCATAGAGCGTCGCCATGAGGTAGCCGAAGTACCCTTGAAGCTTAAGCTTAGGACTTAGGCTTTATAGGATTGAAGCTCAGGTTATGGTGTAACGGGCACAAGTGTGTGGGCATGTGTGTCCGAATGTGATGTTATTTTAATATATGCCGCCGGAAAAAGGCTTGCAGTTTTGTCAGATGGGCCTGGAGAGCTTTAAGAAGTTGGCTCCAGTGCTTCAGCTGCAAGGCCAGACCTGAACCAATCTCCAAAATCAGAGAAACTCTCAATCCGAACCATGTCATACAAGCCCTGGGCCCTCTAAAACCTCAAAACCAAAACAACACCAAGTCCAGTGCAGGAGCGTAAAGCCAAAACCGAAGCCCTCTGGGATCCTGAGAGCAAAGAGACTCTTCGTCAGATCCGTGCGCGCTCCTGGCAAGTTTCAGCAGCTTGGCATAGACAGTCGTACATGGAAGACAATGAAACTTCTATACATGAAACTCGAGATTTCCATGTCCCCGAAGCAGGGTTTAGACCTGTACACACTGGATACCGACAACCCTCACTCGTTGTCGCCTCCTC